GTGGATATTCTCCCCAAAGCTACACTAAAGAAGGGGCTGGAGTGTTATGGGGATCAAACTACAGCAAACTGAGGCTGCCAGCATTGTGGAAGCAGCCACTTAAAGAACTGAGCTAGGGCTGGGCCCCCGAAAAGATAAATCTTAGCACATGGGATGTAAGCAGAACATAGCAATGATTATCAATTTCAATGATTAGCAGGGATGAGAATGGATCAGAGTAGGTAGTACATGTCTTTGTAAACTATAAATTTACTTATCAGAAGACAAAATGGGCTATTCCTTGAAAAGTACTACTTTAAATCTTTGTAAGGATTGGGCATGTCTGAAAGAAAATAATCTCACTTCCTCTAAAATACACCTTCAAGTGCCAGCAAGATAGCTCATCAGACTAAACGTTTGCTTTGGCAAACACAGGGACCAGGATTCCATCCCCCCATCCCACAGGCTGGGCCAGCCCCATCCCCCAGGGCATGCTGAGCCTTTGACAGAGGTCTGGGTGTGGTGGCACAAGGCTGTAATCCCAGCGTTGAGGAGGCTGAAAACAGGAGGATCACTACAAATCCAAGCTGTGTAGTGAGACTCTGTAACAAATAAATAAATGAAAAAAAAATACACCTTCCTCTTAGTTGTACCAACCCAAAATATCTCTACACATTGCCAAGTGTCTCCAAGAAATCATACCTAGTTGAGAACTAGTGCTATATTATGTTTTAATGTTCTTATTTAGATAATCAAATCACTTAATCCTGCCTGCTATGACTCACCTTTACCTGGCTACAATTGTATTACAATTATAGAGAGGCATTCTACAGAAGTCTTTAATTTTTATGTTGTCTTGATTTAGAAATACTCTCTTTAACATCTCTGACCATTCATCTTGAAAAGTGTATGGTATTTAGTGAGATCAATTGACTTTATACAACTTAGTCATGAGCTTCTTATAGCAGTAAAAGAGATGAAGGTATCAGGGATGGGGTAGTGGGGAAGTATTTTGATTTGAGGATTACTCTGGAAGCATTAATTTAATCATTTAATATCCAAACTATTCCTTATTTTCTAAAGACCTGTTCAAAGTCTCAATGTTCCTGTCCTGAAAAGAAAAGACATAATGATAGAAGGAGGCCTCATCGACAAGAACTGTGTGGTCGCTGCAAAGACAAGAAATTCTCCTGTGGCAATCTTTATAATTCTAAGTACATCATATGACAGGCAGTGTGGTTTGTGAACTCTTATAGTTAACTGTAACTTACTTTTTGCAATCTTATCTATGACTTGGCATTGGATAATAGACTAGGCTTTTGTACTTTTGTAGGTTGTATAACATTTGCACAAAATGAATAGACTAAAATAAATGCATGAATGTTAAACTATGAAGCTGCATCAATTGGTGATCACAGGGGAAATATTAATATGGCAATAAGATGTGGGAGTTATTATCAGTCACATTACAGGCACAACGAAGAGAAAAATAGCCATTCACATGACAAATTCATAAACTGGGTGTTCTGAGTGGTGGGAATATAGAGATGATCAAGGGGGCAAATGTCCCTTCTCCAAGGATACATAATCATAGCAAATTCTAAAGCAGAACCTAGCAAATGCCAGGCATTATAACTCTTAAAAGCAATATATGAAGTAGGAATATACCTTTACATAGGTGAAGAGGTAGAGGCACTGAGAGGTCATGGGATAGATCCAGGATTTGAACCCAGGAAGACTAAGTCTTGTTCCATGCTTACAGTTAAGTACATTTCAACTAAGATTCTGATATGTCCCATGAATGAAACATGGTACTATGACTACATAGAGTGGCTGGGAAGAGATGTCATGAGAATTAAGACTTACAGGAAGAGGGAAACTGGGAGAACATGGTTTGAACAAGAACAAAGGCCATGAGAAGTTGGGGAACATACTAAACACGTATGACGAAAGGGGATTCCTCCTTTTTTTACCAAGATGGCACCGAAAGCAAAGAAGGAAGCCCCTGCCCCTCCCAAAGCTGAAGCCAAAGCAAAAGCTTTGAAGGCCAAAAAGGCCGTGCTGAAAGGCATCCACAGCCACAAAAAGAAGAAGATATGAACATCGCCCACTTTCTGCTGTCCCAAGATGCTCCGGCTCCGGAGGCAGCCCAAATACCCTCGGAAGAGCGCCCCCAGGAGAAACAAGCTTGACCACTATGCCATCATCAAGTTCCCCCTGACCACAGAGTCAGCCATGAAGAAGATTGAGGACAACAACACACTCGTGTTCATTGTGGATGTCAAAGCCAATAAGCACCAAATCAAACAAGCTGTAAAGAAGCTCTATGACATCGATGTTGCCAAGGTCAATGCCCTAATCAGGCCTGATGGAGAGAAGAAGGCATATGTTCGACTGGCTCCTGATTATGATGCATTGGATGTTGCCAACAAAATTGGGATCATCTAAACTGAGTCCAGCTGGCTAATTCTAAATATATACTTTTTTTCTAAAAAAAAAAAAGAAAGGGAATTCCTCAAAGCAAAAGTTGGGCAAAATGCTGAAGAAGACAGACTTAGGTCCCAGGGGTTCTTCACCCATGGCCAAGCATATTCAAGCTCAAGAAGGTGATATGGCAAGGAAGTGACATCAGCTTCTTACTTTACAAAACTCACTTCCTGCTTTGCAGGAAGACTAGGAAGGGTGGAAACAAAAAGTCTTGCTAGGAGGTTAATGGACATACCAGCAGAATGATGCTTGGACAGAGATGGTATCCTTGGAGATGGAGACAAATCTATCAATTCAAGATGACCCTGAAAATGCACCGGACTAGCAGTAGATGGTTGAAGAAACAAATGATGAGGCTTAGCTTGCTGCTTTGAGCCAAGGGGTATATGGTTTTGACCAGTACACCAATTAGGAAGCATGTTTTGGAGCCAGTTCACCTAAAATTTTCAGTGCCTCATATATGTTAAGCATTTAGAATGGTATTAGTAAACTTTTGATCTGAGTCAAAATTTAGTCTTATTTAGGTGGACTTATGTTTTCATCATAAGTTTGAGGTATTTGGGATATCCATGCAAATAGAGATGTCATGTAGGCTATAAGATATATGTATATATATATATATACATATATCTTATGCTTAGGGAAGAAGGGTTAGAAATGAAAAATAGCATTTATAGCTATGAGCCCAAATGAGACTGAGACTGCCTAGAAGGAAAGGATAGCAAAGAATCCTGGGGAATGCAGCATTTAGAACAGTGGTTCTAAAACTTCAATGTCACAGCAATCATTTGGTGAGCAGTAGGCCTGGGGTCTGAGATTGTAAATCTAACAGACTGCAAATGTTATCAATGTCACTGGCCTCATGGAATACACTCTAAGTAACAAGAACTGAGGGGTTAGATAAATCAAGAGGATAGAAGAGTATTATATGATAAAAGTAAAGACAAACACTATTTTAAGAAAGAAGGAATAGGTGGTTGAATCAAATCATACAAAGTGGTGGAGAAACATTAAAGATTAATTGACAACATGCAGATGATTGATAATATTAAAAGGAGAAGCTTCACTTCATGCCCACCAAATCGGCACTCCAAAAAATTCTCCAGGACATTCTAGAAATAGACAACTAAACCAACAATGCCAAAAAGTCTGATAGAGTCAATATTAGGGTGAGCAGTTAGAGAAACATGTGAAGAAAATCAGCAACAGAAAAATGAAGCAATGAAGAAATATGTAAATGCATTTCAGTAATAATTCTCAATGTGAATGGTCTCAATTCTCCAATGAAAAGACACAGATTAGCAGAATGGATCGAGAAACAAAACCCAATGATATGAAGTGTACAAGAAACACAATTAATCAAAAAAAATTCACAGACCAAAAATCAAACAATGGAAAGCAATATTTCATGCAACTGGAACCTGAAAACAATCAAGAGTAGCTATTTTATTTTCTGACGAAGTAGACCTCAAGCCAAAAAATGATCAGAAGAGATAAGGAAGGTCACTAAATATTGGTTAAGGAAACAATTCAACAAGAAGAGATAACGATTTTAAATTTATACACCAAACACCAGTGCACTGAACTCCATAAAATAAACACTGCTGAAAATAAAAGGTCAGATAAACTTTCCAACAGCAACAGAAGACACATTTATAGCAGCAGAACATGGAACATTCTCCAAAATAGATCACAAGCTAGCCCATAAGGCATTTAGTAAATGTAGAAGAATGACAATTTACCATACATACTATCAGATCATAGTACAATGAAACTAGAGATCAGATCACAGAAAAATTCTACAAACACACAAAAATTAAACAATACTCTTGAATAATCAATGAATTACAGAAGAAATCAATGAATAAATTAGTTTCTAGAAGCAAATGATAATGCCAGTACAGCATAACTTATGGGGGACAATGAAAACAAGAGGTAATTTTTCAGCTGTGAATGCCTGTATCAGAAAACAGTGAACCCAAATAAATAACCTAATGATGTACCTCAAAGCCTTAGATAAATAAGAATAGTCAAAACCCAAAGCTAATAGGAAATTATAAAGAAGAGAGCAGAAATTACTGAAATTGATTAAAAAAATACAAAGAACCAATGTATCAACAATGTATCAAAGAGCTGGCCCTTCGAAAGAATAAAGAAAATAGGCAAACACTTAGCCAATATTATTTAAAAAATACAGAAAAAGACCCAAATATATGCAGTTAGAAATCAAAAAGGTGAAATCACATTAGACATTGCCAAAATCCAAACTAGTAATATGTCTTTGAAAACCTGTGCTCCAATAAATTGGAGAATCAAGAACAAATGAGTAGATTTCTAGATACATACAAATTTGCCAAAATGGAACCAAGAAGCTACAAAAGCCATGAATAACCCAATAGCAGGTAATTAAACTGAAGCAATAATTTAAAAAAAGAAAAACAAAAACACAACTACCATCTGAAAATAGCTCATGGCCTGATGTATTCACTGTTTAATTCTACAAGAACTTCAGGGATGATCTAATGCCAATAGTCCTCAAACTCTGTAAAAAATCGAGAGAGAGAGAGAGAGAGAGAGAGAGAGAGAGAGAGAGAGAGAGAGAGAGAGAGAGAATTTCTGTATTCATTCCTAGAAGCCAGCATTACTCTGATTCCAAAGCCAGAAAAGGACCCAACCAAAAAACTATAAACTAATTTTGTTGATGAACATAGATGCAAAAATCTTTAACCAAGCTACCAGTAAACAGAATAAAATGAATCATCAAAAAGATCATATATCATGACAAAGTAAGTTTCATCACACAGACATAAGGATGGCTCAACATGTGCAAAACAGTAGATGTGTACTACATTATATAAACAAAAGCAACAATTTAAAAGTTGTATTACCATCTCCATAGAAACAGAAAAGGTCTTTGACAAAATCCAACATCTGTTCATGATAAAAACCCTGAATAAAATAGATATAAAAGGATCTTATCTCTGTCTATCAAAAGCTATTTATAATAATCCCACTGTCAACATCATATTAAGTGGGAAAGATTCAAAAGCCTTTCCTCTAAAATCAGAAACAAGACAGGTGTGTCTACTTTTACCACTTCTGTTCAATATAGTACTTGAAATGGTAACCAGAGTAGGCATATAGTGGAAAGAAATACAATGAATGTGCATAGGAAAGGAAGAAGTCAAATTATCATTGTTTGTAGATGGCATTAATCTCTACAAAGAGGACCAAAAAAAGTTCCACCAAAGACTACTGGAACTCATAACCAAATTCAATAATGTTGCAGAATTAAAAGAAAAATCACACAAAAATCAATAATATTCTTGTGAATAACAATGAACTCACCAAGAAAGAAATTCACAATAGCATCAACAACAATTAAATGCTTAGGAATTATCCAAGGAAGTAAAAGAATTTTACCTTTTTTTTTTTTTTTCATATTTTAGGGAAGGATCTAGAGGGTGTTCAGGGTCTCACTACTAGATCAGACTTGTGGTGATCTGCCTGTTTACAGCCTCTTAAGAGCTGGGATTACAGGCTCACGCCACCACACTCATATTCCATTGCCATCTCAGTGTGCCCTGGGGGGGGGCAGGCACTGAAGGACTGGGGATCAAAGCCCAGCCCTTGCACCTGCTTACAGGAGCTTTAATCCACTGAGCTATTTTTTTTTTAAATTTTATTGAGAAACAAATAGCAATGAGACAGTTTTAAAACTGATTAGTAGGGCAGTTTCA